TCGCCTATTCATCGTTGACAATCCCTACGAGAATGTGGTAATCAATCTGGAGGCGGAAGCGTACGTGGAGCCGATCATTCTTGAGGGCCTGGAATTCGAAGATGACAAACTCACGCCGAAAAGGGAGTCCCAGGGCTTGATCGTTAAGGGACGGAGACTCCTCTCGAAACGGAGCACTAATCTATCTGGTTGATCATTTGTTAAATAACAAATAATATTGTATAAACTTTGTCTAACTTAAAGTGAATTTCAGAACGCGCGAGTGCAACGTTCGTGACGACGTTATCCTACGCCCTCAATTATGAACATTGTTTCGTCGGGAAGATGTATCGGAGGATGTTCAAGATCACCAATAAATCCGCTGACAAATGGTTCCGATTCCAATGGAACGCGCATCCGAATATCGTATTCGTGCCGTCTATTGGTCATATCAAGTGTCGGACGTTTAAAGAAACTATTGCTGCGTTTCTGGCAACGGAACCTATTACTCACTCGAAGGTAGGTGTTCGTATACCTTTCCTTCTTGTGTACACTTTCTTTCTTTTTTAATAAATTGTTTTACGTCCACCTGTTCTATTCGCTCGACCGAACTAGCTAGTATACAGGGTGTCCCAAAAATGTCTCGCAATCCGAATGTAGGGGATTCCTGAGGTCATTTGAAGCAACTTTTTCCTTAGCGAAAATGCAATCCGCGGCTTCGTTTACGAGTTATTAACGAGAAACAGTGACCAATCAGAAGCGAGATCATTTGGCACGAGACGGCCGAGCCAATGGGCGGAACTGGGCTCCGTGCGCTCGTTGGCTGGGCCGCCGCGCGCCAGCCGAGCTCCCCTCTTATTGGTCAGTGTTTTTCGTTAATAACTCGTAAACGAAGCCTCGGAGAAAATTTTCGCAAAGGAAAAAGTTGCTTCAAATTACCTCAGGAACCTCCCATTTTCGGATTGCGAGACATTTTCGGGACACCCTATAGTTTAATATTGCACTACGAATATGTGAATGCATTTAAGCGATGACTGAAAGAGTCATTGACGACTGAAACGGTCATTGAAAACTATTCTGCGGTTCTCTATTGACTGCCACCAGACTCGAATCGAGTGCATCGTAAACGAGATCAACGGTGCCAATCTGGAGACCGATGCAGCCTGGGACGACCGACAGACAGAAGTGCACTGGGAGAGAATGCATCCTGACATCCTGGAGCAACCAAAGACCAATGAAGCCATAGCGAAGAAGATGGTGCGCCCAGTTCTGGAACCTGAAGTAGACATCGTGCCTGGCACCAGCAAGTGCATCGAACTGCTGCTTAGTGCAACAGTCGCATTCTCCCAGTATTCTTGTCCAGTCAAGAACATCTGCTTCAAGGACACGCTGATGTTCCAGGTCCAGCATCCTATCGCAAACTATCGTATTCTATCAGAATTGCTGTGCCCTTTGGTTTGTTTTCAAGCGTGATTAACTTTGTATCTATCGAATACGACGTATTAAATTTAACCCTTTACACTCCGCACCATCCCAGACGTTAGCTACCAGCTACTCGGCGCCATTTCGTCGCAAAAACGTGCACTTTATGTTATATAATATACCTTTGAAACCAAGTAAGATATTGCAATGATATTCCATTTAATTGTAGACATTTGTTAATTTTAATTTGTAAACATCGAGGAACATATATTTGCAAAAGAGATCAACATTTTATTTCTTCTAATTTTCTACAGTGCGATAAATTTTAAAGCGTTCCAATATAATAAAGTTTACTTAATAAACTTAAGGTAAATAATAATTATTATAATATATATAAGGGAAAGTTTATTAAAGTTTATTATAAAGTTAAGTTATTAAGTTTAGTTTATTATTATATATATATTATAAATAATAATAATAAACTTAAGTTAAAATAAACTAAACTTAATAAACTAGACTTAATAACTTAACTTTATAATAAACTTTAATAAACTTTCCCCTCCCTCAGAGGGGACATTCGAATAATATGCTAGAATCACGATGTCCCCCGAGAGGAGACAACGGTGTGCAAAGGGTTAATACGTGTTATTCGATAAATATACAATTAATTACGCCCGAAAACAAGCCATAGACACAAAAATCGATCTTCCCATAGCAGAACTGCACTACCCTGTCGCAAGGTTCGTAAAACGTTTCATCATCTTCAGCGTAATTCTATCGTAGACCAGAGTGTACACGTTCGTTCTGTCGAACCCGGGGTCAGTGAACACGCCGTACATCTGGAAGATATCCATGGACGAGCAATACCCGAGGAAGTATATGGAAGACGGTCCAAACGTGACCGTCAGGCCGAAGACAGCGGATAATTCTCGGCCGGTGACGAATTCGAGGTCGTTCCGTGGCATGTTCTCCGCAACAAGTGAACGGTTTAGCAGCAAGGGCTCCATCGGCCACGGGAATAGCAGAGGCGACGACAGAAATTTGGTCTCGCGGCGATGCACCGCCTCTCTATCCGGTAACGGCTTATGCAGCCCGCTAAAAGGGTTCGTGACTCGTCGAAGAAGCGCGCCGATCATCGATCGACTTCGGCGTTCCAGACACCATCGAGCTGAAAGTGCCCAGCGAAAGGCCGTCGGACCTTTTCAGCAGCTCGGCTTGTCTCTCGGAACGGACCACCGACAGCTGGTTAGAGGGCGACGATCTGCCCTTCGCGATCCACCCCGAAGAAGGATCCATTCCGCCCGGAGAGTCCGCAGAGTTCACCCTCAAGTTCTCCCCCATGGACGTGTTTTATTACAAGGCTTATCTTACGTGCAAGTACGCGATCGCGAGCAAATATTTGTCGCGCCTCGATGGACAATAGAAACTCGTTTCTCTTCGTCGTCGTCGGAGAAGCTCGATTTCGAAGGAAAAGCCGAATTTTTTCGGATTTTAGAATTTTTATCCGCTCTGATCGCGGAAATTATGGGAATGATTCTTACGTAGCAGAATTCTGTAGACTCTCACGAATAGCACGGTGTAGTTTTTTGTTGCATTACGGACTTCGGATCGTGTTTAAAGAACGTTTTAAGAGAGAGAGCGAGACGCGTCCAGCGAGCCAATTTCTCGGACGTTTCTTAAATCATTTGATAGATTAAAAGTTTGCGGTGAAATTTCATTGTACGATATCGAAGAGCCGACCTTCTTCCTGTAGAAATTCTCGAAGAAGTTAAAAGATTCGTTTCCGATTGACAGAATGAAGTATTTCTGCGTAGAGTGGGCTATTGCCAGTGGTTCTCAACGCCGGCTCGTGTTTCGAATTCACGGCGATGCGACGCGATCGTTTTTAGAGAAACATTAGATACATTGGCGCAAAGTTTAATACGTTTATTATTTACTGGACTATGCGTTTTCATAATCGCTAAATATTTTGATTGAAAAAATGGAATATAGCGCAACCATGTGTAGGCATTATAGTGAAGCTTGACATTGACTCTATAGCACCGCATCCTTTACAGAACTATCTAATTTTCTTAATCGAAATCCAAATCTATTTCCCAATCATTTTCGACGGTTTTCGAAGGAACAACACCTGATCTATCATATGGTATAATTATATTTTGCCTTCAAATATGTCTAAACATTCGTAACCTTATTTTAAAAATGTGTCATATTTGGAGCGTCTACAGAATCGTCCTACGTAAACGTCGTTCGCATAACTTTCACGATTAAAGCAGTAAGAATTCGTAAAGTTCGAAGACTCGCTATGTCCCTGTGATACCTAACTCTCTCTAATTGCCAAAACCGTTTCGTGTTTCCCACGTGTTTGTGCAAACGGGGTGGCTCAGCGTCCGGCATTCGTTACTTTCGCCAGAATAGAGAATCTCGACCCGGAGCTGCCGATGTTGACGATTCCGATCGTGGCGAGAAGTTTATTGCCGTATTGTCATTTCGACGTGGAAGAAAGCGACTACGTATCCAGCGGCAGACGGGATCCAAAGCGGCCCGGCCCGCTGGAATACGGGACAGAAGATCCCACTTTGTGGCAGAATATCAGAGTAATCGAATTTAAAGTGGTCGGTGTCGGCGAGGCTCGCGTCAAGTAAGTGCGACACGGGGAACTGCAACGCCCTCGGTTTTAACGAACTTCGCAACAAATTTCTACGGTCTAATTTGCATTCGCTGCGGAAATGCCGGAAATTCATTAGAACGGGCACCCGGGGCTTGTAGAATTTTTTCAGCAGCGATTCGGTTGCCTCTTCTCGTTCCTGTCCGCGTAGAAAAATATTGTGCTTCGCTCCCGGGTTCGCCGCGTCGAGCGATTCGAGCACTGTACGTTGCTGGAAAGAAGACGTGCTAATTAGTTGTTAGTATTTAGACTGCGATTCTTCGCGTTCGTGACACCGATGAATAAGTCTAATCCTAACAATGCCACGATTATTAAAGGAAAGTTCCTGCCTCTTGCAACGAGTTCAGGAAATGTCTGTTCTGCGGAAGGCTTAGCAGCCTAATTGTTGGAGACATCATTTTGATACAGGTGGAAGGGTGTCAATAAATGCGACACGCGAATAGACGTTGGAAAGTAGTAGAGCTGAGGAATCATTCTTCCCGATCTTCAACAAGATTTTTAATACCTCGTTGGCAGAAATCATCCGGTTTCGACACAAAAAATTCGTCCAACCAAGCTCGTTGATTTTTGTTGTTGTCACTTAAAGCATGCGGAACCCATGTTCCACACTTCTGAACGTTTTTCATTGAGCGAAGATGCTTCTCTATACCAGTGTGAGAGTATTCAATTTTCTCTGCCAATTCCTTTGTCGTTTTACGCGAATTTTCGCGCAGAAGTTGTTTTAATCGCTCTTCATTGAACTCAACTGGTCGTCCAAAACGAGGTGCGTCTTCGAGGTCAAAATTTCCATTTTTGAACTTAGCATACCAATCACGAGCGGTTCTTTCAGCTATGGCGCCCTCTTCGTACACAGCACAAATGTCGTGAACAGCTTTCGCGGCCTTAGCACCTCGATTAAAAGCGAAAACAAGGTGTCGAAAATGCTCATTTTTCTCAACTTGACATTCCAATTTAATGATCTGAAAATTAACATAAATTAACTCGAACAAGAAAACAAAACATGGATTCCAGTAGAACAAAACACCCTCTTCCGAATGATATATTTGATAAGTTTATTGTGTATTGCCCAATACGTTTCTCACCCCTAACTACAGAAATTACCGTCAACATAAACGTTGACTGGCAAAACAATGTATATAAAATTTGTATTTTGCGCGAAGATCCAGTCTAATTATTGAGTACACAATTTTTCTATCGGTCGAAGTGTGTGACAATAAATTAGATTATGAATGGACGGAGTCTACCTTCGTCTTTGTGCCTTTCCAGCAACGTGCGGATATCTTTTCGATGCAGTATAGCGCAGAACATGATACGGTTCCGACGATTTCAGGAATTTCCACCTGATCAATCCGACGACGGACGACTATCGTTTCACCTGGACGGACCGAACGCGCCGCATGGTCGACGAGGTGCCGAATTTTCATTGCTCCGTGTCCGAGGGCATCGCGGAACGCGGCAAACAAACCGATCTGTCTTTCACGTTCTTGGCAGACGAGGTCGGCGTATCCGAATCCTTCTGGCTCTTCTCCATCGAGAAATACAATCTGCAGTGTCTTTTCCTCGTCGTCGGTATCGTCACCGAGCCCTCGGTGCATTGCCTTACGGTCCACGTGAAACTGAAGCCAACAATTCTAGGCGAGTCTCGGGCATTCCTCCGCCTAAGCTTTCGTTCATCATCTTCCCTTTCATCTTACGCTATAGGGCGTAAAATTCGCGTGCACATCGCGCTCCGAGAAATTACGTTTGTCCGGAAACCTCGAAACCTTAGATATTTCACGAGAGATCGTGCCTTGGTAACTGTCCGCAGGAAATGTGATCTTTTCCGCTTTTCTGGAAAAGCGACTAGGACTTTGCTTTTTAGACGAGTGCACGGTTTCGTAGTACGTGTATTGGACTACCTACATTGATTTTTAAGCCGGGAAATCTTAAGAAATTCCTGAGTTAAAGTCTCGCTAGCGAAAGCTCAACGTAAACAGTACGATTTTTCAAGATTTATGTTTTTCGTTGAGTCGAGTCAACCTTTCCTTTTTTAATTCCTGGAAAGGTTTCCATTGATAACAGAAAAATCCTTCGTCCAGTTGCTACATAGCGTGATAATAGAAGAAGTAACGTGTCAAGAGAATCACCGTGAAGCTTTTATCTCTGATGATCTAGAGAAATTGTGTTTTCTGGAAAACGCTCAGGCATTTCTGAAGATTCGCCAAGAAATTGCCACGAATTATGTGATACGTGTGTTCTTAAATAACAGATTTATTTAAAAGAGGAGTCCATTAATGTTACCGAGGAAAATTTCTTAAAATCCTAACTCTCAGATCGTTGACTAGGCACGACCCCTTAACCCCTTCAAGACTAAGGGAAACATTTTTCCCCATTTTAAAATTGGCGATTGTGGTATTTAATTATTGATTATTTTTGGTACGAAACGCAATTTACCAGCACACAACGTGCACAAAGCGGAAAAAATTAAAGGACGTGCAATATATGTACTATGCGCAATGTTCATCTTTGCTTCGCAGAATATCATAATTAGCACATCACTTTGTATAGTAATTTTATTTCGTGATTTTCTGTTGTTTTAGTTAACATTTTGTTATAATAAACCAATAAATAAAAGACATCGTTAATTATTATAGTTACCTTTATAGTCCATTGGGAAAAATATTTTCCATAAAGTCCACAAAAAACTACACACTATTATGTACCTTTCTTGACTATGATTTTGATGATAATGATTTTTACTTATTTTACGTCTAAACAAACTAACATAAACAATTACATACTAATACTTGCTCCTAGCAACCTGATGGTCCTGTAAGGGTTACAGCGTAACGTGTTAAAAAATCCATATTCTCGCTCTTAATAATCCTCCCACAATCTCAAAGCGTCATCGTAACAACTCAAAGTCATCAAGCCAAATTATTATATCCTCAGGAATTACATTTCCAGAATACAACGTGCAAGAGTCCATCCGGCTCCTAAACGACGAACCCTTCGACATCTCGTTCCGCATCCTGGAAAGGTCCCTGTACTCCGAAGGAAAGTTTCAGAAGTTGACGGTAACACCGATGGATGGGGTCCTAGCACCGAAGACCGAGCAATTACTATGGTGATCGATGCTACACTCGAATCCTACGTCCTACGTCAGCGTTCCCCGAGCCATTAATAAATCCGTGGCCCGTAGTCGCCGACTTTACACGCGAGATCGCGGGCCAGAATCGCACGGGTGAAATCTTTTAATTCGTCCACAGGGTCGAGTACCATCCGACCCGGGTCGGTGAATTCCACTTTTCCATTCAGTGCGCCGTAAAGCTGATGAAAAGTCCTCTCACAGTTTTCGTGACCGCCACCGTTCACGAGATCGTTTCCACGGTTTCCTATTCGGTCGCGGCCGGCGAAATTGTACGTGCCAGCGAGAACACGGAGAATGTCATCGACCTGGGCAAGGTTCGTAGGCGATCTCTTCAAATTCAAAGACAGCTGCGATCCGCCTGTGATCGTCTCGTTCCCAGTATCCGTTTCGTACGGGCCGCTGCGGCAATCCGGGAGATCGTTTATTCCATCGATTTGCGACCGTTTCCTTTCGATTCTTTCTCGATTGCGTCGAAATTGCGGCGGCCTCTGTGCCCAACGAGGTTCTATCTTTCTAATACTAATTAAGAAAGAAACAGCCTGTCCTGTAAACGTCGCAAGTGTTTTTTTAACGATCACTTTAACCCCTTGTCGTACTTGGACGAGTCCGATTCGTCATGAAAATTTCTAGTAATAACTTATTGCACATTGATGTCATTCTGTCCTTTAAAATTCGAATAAAATTCTGATCTCTTGTCGTCAATATTTAAGCATTCGAGTAAATTTAGGCACACAATAAGCAGCTATTTTCTTTCCTTTCTAAGAAATTATTGCAATCGAAAAATTTCTAATCGCAGTAATTGCGAAGAAAATGGCATGTCAAGAGGTTAATCCTATTCAATTCATCATCTAAGAATATATTATTGAGAGTTGACGAGAAGACCTCCGGGATTATTGCAGGTCGAGGGGAACAAACGAAGGTCCTGCCTAACCCTACCTTCCCCACTCTTGATGGGGTCTATTGTCACAGTCGTGGAACCCCTTTGTACTGATCTACTCTGTCAATTGTTTCCGAAGCGATGGCTTTATGACACTACGATAGCATAATGTTGGCCTAAACCAGGGCTCGGAATTACGGAGCACGCAACATCCAGATCGCGAGGGCTACGCCTGCGGACTCCCGTCGCGCGTCTCACTCCCCGTGCTCGCCTAAATGCTCGGAGCACTTCAGAAGCGTACTGTAGTAAAGCTACGATGTTGCGTGCTCGATAATTCCGTGCCCCGGTTTAGCTCAACAGTGTGAGAAAAGGTAGTCGCGACGCGTTATAGTCAATTGCACTCGCATTCTTTGCAGACGTCTTCTCGTAAGCTCTGAATAATTCTTATGGAATAATCTACTTGATAATTTCAACTGGCAACTAGACAATTACAATTCCAACACGATGTCCATAATGATGAATCAATAATAGACCCAAGTTCTTCCAACCAAGGGATAATTATTTTTCAACAGAGTGATTTCTCGGCTTCGTTCGCAGTTGCTGGTCAACGTGCCAATCACCGTGAAGTTCGACGTCGGTAATTCCAGCAAAATGACGTTTCATTATGCCTGGGATCTCGGCATGACGCCGGTGATCTACAGCAGGAACGCCTACAACCTCGCGATGTCTCAAATTCAGGGCCATGTGACCAAAGAAACTCGATCGGTCTGTGATTTAACGCTGACACCGTTCCAGCGAACTGCAATTAAAGATCATTGTGTTACCCTGAAGGTATGAAACAGGTCGCCTACAATACTATGTTAGTTAAAATTACCTAGATTCATTTGAAAATATAACAGTGACTTTGCTTTCTTTATCGAAAATCGATTTGTTCTTCAATTTAAAGAACTGCAATTTCTTGTCGGTTAAATACTAAGTAATGTTTTGTCAGACCATCGGAAGGGGCTCAAAAATTGTGGGGACTAATTTATATATATATATAAATAGTATAATATATAATATATTATATTATATTAATATTATTATATTATAATATATTATATATATATATATTATATATTATATATATTATAATTGTGGGGACTCACCCTGTATATGTATGTATGAATTACATTGTACAACTGTAATTCATGCGAACGATAGATCAGCAACGGGGCAACCTATCGATTCCTGTTGAAAGCCACTTCGAAGAAAATTGCTGTCCAATTCAGCTTCGATCGCTACGATTTTGGACCGTGCTACGTGCAAACCACAAACGGATTGTCTCATCGCGTGGAACTTCGTGTGAAAAATTCTGAAAATTCGAGTATTATGTGAGATGCTTGCTTCTTCTTTCTCGACGCGATTACTATTATTATTAGATCACAGATCTTTCTGCAAAATAAACATTTACAGTAAATTCTCTCTAATCGACGCTCGAATAATCGAATCTCCTCTCCGCAAATTGTCAATTAGGGCGAATTTACTGTACTTTGTCAATTGCAAAGATCGATTTATTTCGTTTCTTAACGTAATTTCATTCCAGTCCAGTTTCTTCTAACATTTGTAACATTATAATATTTCATGTGCACGGTTGCGTCGGAAATTCATGAAAATTCGCACTCTAATTAATAATATTACTGCGGAACTTTATGCGTTTATGCCATGTACACACTGTTAACACGCGGGGGAAACGTATAAATTAAAAAGGTCTGATAACATCTTTATTTTCTTTCAGTTATTTTCAGTTATTTTCTTTTTTAGCCGACGAAGAGAAACTGTTCTCTAATTCTAGTGTCTCTAATCCTAATTTCCGCTGTACTTAGATTTTGTGCGAAATTTTATTGTTCATTCTCGCCACTTAATATGTTGATAAACGAAAAAGAATTTAAGAGTCTAGTATACTAAACCGACGATAACTTCGTCGCGGTTAATTGAAAGTATATTTAACGCAGACTCGAGTGTAATTTCGAGGATCGTCCGCATCTCTCCGTCAACTTAAATCCGATTTCCGAAGCGGTGGCTGCTCGGTCAACGATCATTCTGCCAGTCACTTTCCGTCCACTGAAGGAGACCAAGTACCGCGAGTGCTTAATCTTCAAAATCAACTCGGCGAACGAGAAGAGAATAGTTATTACTGGCGAGGGAATACCTTACAGGGCAAGTATTCATCGCGGGCTTCCGACGATCGCGAGTTGTGAAAACTTCGGTGGGGACGGCGGCGAAACTTGAAACGGCTACTTTCCGGGAACTTTGCCGTAGAAAACTTAAACAATTCGACCATCTGAAAAATGCTGAGCGAGAATCGGAATGGAAGCTATCGAAGTAACCCGCGTGAACGGAAACAAATGGAACATGAGATAATAGAGTTAACTATAGCAGCTCTTGATTAACATTTGCGGGGAAACGTGCGCAAACGATAGTTGCAAATTTGCGTGAACATACGGTAGAGAAAAGTTATTATTCAATCGATTGACGAGTGAATCGACGTTGGAAAGTAAGAACGCTTCGGAACGCTTCGCAATGTAACATTGGGCTCCGCCTCCCGACTGCCGTCGCAGCGGCTCCCCCCCCCCCCCCCCCCCCCCCCCCCCCCCCCCCCCCCCCCCCCCCCCCCCCCCCCCCCCCGCCCCCTCCCCCCCCCCCCCCCCCCCCCCCCCCNCCGCCCCCCCGGCCCCCCCCCCCCCCCCCCGTCGCGCTCCCCTCCTGACTACCACCGCAGCGTCTCGCTCCCCCCGACGGGCACCGCTTTCTGACTACCGCCGTAGCATCTCCCTCCCCGCGTCGCGCTCCCCTCCTGACTACCGCCGCAGCGTCTCGATTCTCGCATTTCGTGACGTAGCGACGATAAACCGATGGAAGCCGGGGAGCGAGACGCTGCAGCGGTAGGCAGAGCTCAATGTTGCGTTCCGAAGCGTTCCGAGCCCTGGTGTGTTTACGTTTTCATGCCATCCTTCCTTTCTCACTCATACGCGTTACCGTTATGCGCCGATCGTCCGATGCTCAATCTATTTCACTCAATCTCCAAGGAACCTACAGTCGATCTCTGTCATCGTCTTCAGTCAAATAACGTGTCCGTTATACTGTTGGCAGTCCAACGAGGAGCCCTTGAATGTTCGCCTTGTGCTGAAAATCGCTGCCCGTACGGGCAAGCTGTTGAACAGCTTTGTTATGCAGAGAAATGTTCGATTACAATAATTATTCCTTTCTTTAATAATTTCGCACGGTTGGATTCTATGTAAAAACAGCACAATGATCATAGTGCTCCCCTAGCTCTAATGGTTCGAAGATGTTTGAACAAATATATTTGTTACTCCTAATTTCAAATAGTGCCTTCGATATGAAGAACGATTTGCAACGATACGATATACAGGATATCCCAAAATTATGATACTACCGGGAAATTAGGAGTTCCTGAGATCATTTGAAGTAACTTACTCCTTGGCGAAAATGCAATCCGCGGCTTCGTTTACAAGTTATTAACGAAAAACACTAGCCAATGAGAGGCGAGAACCGCTCTTGCGTCGCGTCGCGCAAGCAGTCTGACGCAGCGGCAGTGATTGCGAGGGCGGGGCGCCAGCTGATCTCGTCTCTCATTGGCCACCGTTTTTCTTTAATAACTCGTAAACAAAGCACTCTGCCCTGGGAAACAGAAGAGCGAAGGCTCAAATAGATAGCTTTTTAAATAATAGAGAGCCTCTGTTTCCTCCGACGACGAAGGGGAGGAAACTGTGAATCGAAGAAATCGAAGAATTCAGTGGCGATAAATATTTATTACACTGCTTTCAGATTCGACTGGTGAATCCGCGAGACAAGACAATCGACCTAGGCAGCGTCTCCATCGGCAAGATGTCAGTGAGAAAGATCCCGGTGGTGAACGAGGGTTTAGCAGCGGTGGACGTCAGGTTCGACCTAACAGAAAATTTGTCCGCTTACGGGAAGTATCGGGACCGGGAGAAATCGTGCCCGATCAACTTGCTCGATCTCCTCAAACCGGAATTGGAGAAGGCCTCCGTGGTGGAGACGAAGCGTTCCTGGACAGACGATACGGAGCTCCAGACCAAAGAGTCGAGAATGATGGAACTGCTGCAGATCCAGCCAGCTTCGGTCACTCTGCAACCGAACAAAAAGATCGACGTGATAGTGAGATACAAGCCTACGTTCAGAATGCAAAGGTTCACGAAGAAGGTCAGCGTTCAGGCGGCTTCTACCATCTTGCCGCTGTTCATCATGCATGGATGCTGCGTCGGGATGGAATTCCAATTGAACGGCACTCTGTTTTCGTTCGGAACGATCGTCGAGGGTTGCACCAAGCAGTCGAAGGTCGTTCTAATGAATACTGGAGACATCGGCGCAAGGTTCGTCCGAAGTCGAAGAACGTTGATAGAATTGAATTGATAGAATTGTCCCTGTAGAAAGGGACACGCGCGACGTTGCAAACCGGGACGACGTTGACGTACAATAATTCGTTTAGGTTCAAATGGAACACATCGAAACTGCCGGAAGATTATACGATCAGCCCGGTGTCTGGTTACTGCTCCCCCGGAATGGATGTCAACTTCATTATCAAGTTCCAACCCTCCCGGCAAAGGAGTATAATTGAGGGTGTGGTGAGTGGACGACCCGGTTTCCCGTTCCGGCGGACAAATATTTCGAGCAATCTTTTAATTACAGCGTCCACATCTCCTGCGACTACCATCCAGCTTCGATTAACACGTTGAATGCCACGGGGGTCACCGGTGACCGGCACTTAAATTGGCGGTGACGCCATGGGGGACACCGGTGACCGGCGTGCCCAAATTGATAGAAATATATATAATTTAAAACAAATGTCAATATCTAAAATTTGGTATTATTACCATCGTCGATTCAAACAGTGACCCCTGTCGCAATTAACATGTCAAACATGGTTATACACTGTAACTTATCTATTGCAGATAATATTTCAACATTATATGTATCACATGAAAGAAAATTCATCGTGGCGCCACGGACAATTTCTGTAAAATCGGCGTGGCATTAAACGNTGCAAAGGTTCACGAAGAAGGTCAGCGTTCAGGCGGCTTCTACCATCTTGCCGCTGTTCATCATGCATGGATGCTGCGTCGGGATGGAATTCCAATTGAACGGCACTCTGTTTTCGTTCGGAACGATCGTCGAGGGTTGCACCAAGCAGTCGAAGGTCGTTCTAATGAATACTGGAGACATCGGCGCAAGGTTCGTCCGAAGTCGAAGAACGTTGATAGAATTGAATTGATAGAATTGTCCCTGTAGAAAGGGACACGCGCGACGTTGCAAACCGGGACGACGTTGACGTACAATAATTCGTTTAGGTTCAAATGGAACACATCGAAACTGCCGGAAGATTATACGATCAGCCCGGTGTCTGGTTACTGCTCCCCCGGAATGGATGTCAACTTCATTATCAAGTTCCAACCCTCCCGGCAAAGGAGTATAATTGAGGGTGTGGTGAGTGGACGACCCGGTTTCCCGTTCCGGCGGACAAATATTTCGAGCAATCTTTTAATTACAGCGTCCACATCTCCTGCGACTACCATCCAGCTTCGATTAACACGTTGAATGCCACGGGGGTCACCGGTGACCGGCACTTAAATTGGCGGTGACGCCATGGGGGACACCGGTGACCGGCGTGCCCAAATTGATAGAAATATATATAATTTAAAACAAATGTCAATATCTAAAATTTGGTATTATTACCATCGTCGATTCAAACAGTGACCCCTGTCGCAATTAACATGTCAAACATGGTTATACACTGTAACTTATCTATTGCAGATAATATTTCAACATTATATGTATCACATGAAAGAAAATTCATCGTGGCGCCACGGACAATTTCTGTAAAATCGGCGTGGCATTAAACGTGTTAATTAACCTGTTAACCAGGGGAGAGACTGGCTTAACCTCGTCACATCCTCTCTAACCTCTGTTTGTTTCTCTGCGCTGGCTTATTTATTTGCCGGAAAGTTCTTCGATTCAATCGCACTACACATTGAGTTGGCAGTAAAGTAATTTCGGTATTTCAATGTGAGATAAAACTCAACTTTCTTTTATACAAGAAACGAGCTTTAATCGGTCGAAGATTTTTCATTCTGTTCGATGACCTTTTGCCATTTTTCTCGTAAAAACCGTGATCTTGTTCGATTAATGTTATTGTAAACGATCCGTTTTTCATCACCAGTGATAATTCGTTTCAAAAACTGCATTACGTTTAAAATGCGTATCGCAACTTCTGATTCGTTGTATCAAGTGAATTTCTTTCAATTCGTGCGGAATCCAAAACTCCAGTTTCTTAACAAGTCCAAGACATCTTATATGATATTCAATTGTTGTGTGCGATACATCTAACCTTTTTGCACGTGCATTCTGCTAAGCAATCAACGCCATAAATTTCACATATCTTTTTCTGAACCTCGGCCGCTTTCTTGCCTCTATGAAAATAAAAAAGTAAAACGTTCATTTCTTCGTTTCTTCATGTCGAAAATGTTCGTTTCTGCACTCCATGTTAAGACTGATAACAAACTATCAGTTGTAAACAGAACTACATGGAATTTGTTTCTATAGTAACCTAAACGTGTCAACTACCAAAGCTGAAAACAAAAAAAATTATAACCTTAACAAAAGAATGACAATGCAAACAGAACGCTAATCTATTGGTGCAAACCGAAATTACTTTCTTCCCAACCCAATAGATCGCGCCTGCAACTGTTATATATAATACTCTCCAACAAATTTCGCTGCTCGGAAATTGAAAGTGTAACCTCCTCTTTCTTCGAGACAGTTTCCAAACACTCGACAAATCAGATCGCTTCGAACTATTTTCATTCGTCTGGATTCGTACTTAGAAAGATGTAGACAATCGTAACAAACCTTGTTTCGCAAGTTTGCTCAAGTTATTCTCACTTCAGGCGACCGTGGAGATCGAGAAGTACCAATCCTTGAAGATAAAAGTAATCGGGGGCTGCTGCAAACTGCCCGCGCCAACGGAGACCGTCTTCTTCGTGTCGGTGGTGCGCGAGCAACAGACACTAGCCGTGAACGTTCCCAACGACACAAACTTCCCTTGGAAATTAATGCCCGATGTAACCGGCAATTACTTCTCCGTTGAAGAATCTTTTCACGTTCCAGCGGGAGGATTCGGTTCTTGCATGGTCACTTACGCTCCTACAGTGATGAACACCGAGGATACCCAGCATACGGTAATTTACTTTAAACCAATGTTTAAAGCGTTGACTCGTCAACGAGTGGCTCGTAACTTGTCAATAACGCCACAAGAGTTGTCGATGAATACGATGAAAGTACGCGACAAAGATCATTGTTTCTTCGAACTGATACAGGAAATTTCCATTTCGCATAAGGACCAGTTATCTAATAATAGCTAGACAAATGCGCGAAGTTGAATACAGTGGGTGCCCGTAAAACGCGAATTCGCATAACGCGACGAAAATATTGCGATTTGTATTCATACAGCGCGATAAAAAGTCCCGTATAACGCGTAAGATAAATTTAACATTTTCACATGGTTTCTGATTTTTAAGGCTGACGAAGTAGCGGTTTATACAAAAAATAGTAATACATAAACATTTAAAGATATAAGAGAAAAATAACTTTATTCGACTTTTAATCAAGATAAAAATATATTTATTTACTATCGGAAGTGTCACACACAACGAATAAGTTCCAACGACGTAAGAAACAGTGACCGACGCGAGACGAGCTCGCCTAGCGCCAGGCGGCCGAGCCAATCAGCGGAACTGGGCTTTGTGCGCTGGTTGGCTGGGCCGCCTCGCGCCAGTTGAGCTCGTCTTTCATTGGCCAATGTTTTTCGTTAATAACTCGTAAACAAAGCCGCGCATTGAATTTTCGCTAAGGAAAAAGTTACTTGAAATGACCTCAGGAACCCCCCATTTCCGGATTACAAGACATTCTTGGGACAAGACTAGGCGTGTTTTAAATTACACAAATTGATCTGATAATGTATAACGCGATTTCCTATTACGCGTCCACTTACGAGTCCACTGTACCTCGACCAGCTAAGATTTCGCTATAATATAACATAAATATAGCCTAAAAATTGTAATCGGCATTCAACGTGTTGAATTACTTCATTTTCATTTCTCTCGCAGGGCACGCTCTTAATCAAAATTCCAGACGAAGGAATACCCTTGATATACTCTCTTCAAGGTCTCAGCATACCACCGCCGGCCCTTGCCAAAATCCATCGACAGTTTCCTGCCAAAACGAAGTACACCGAATTGTTGCTCGTTCACAATTGGCTCGGCAAGCAGCAGCGATTTTACTGTAGCATCGAGCCGTTGATTGCCAACTCCGCCCAAACGACGGTGAGACTTTTAATACAACGTCCGAGTTACACGAGCTTCTCATTTTATTTTCCATTGCCAATGACTCGCGTGCTTTTGTCGCAGCGAGTTCCCGTCTTCTATTTTTCCGGGAACGAGAGGATCGACGTTTCGCCGAACGGTCATCGCGACTATCGCGCGGTGTTTCACTCTTACGAGAAATACAACTTTCGTTTCAAGGTATTTCTTTCAGCTTTGTGTCGACGAGACGCGTCTTCAAGGCGTTGCAGCCTTCCGTTTCATTTTCGTTCGACGAACACAGGTGACGTTCACCAACGAGGAGAAGGAGTATCAATTTTACGAAATCGAGTACAACGTGACCGAACCGGACGTGCTTGAATCTATCAAATTGTCGACCTCGGTACGGGACCGTGTGTGTCACGATTTGATAGTGGAAAATCCCCTGGAAAGCTGCTCGATCACTTACACGGCAGAGTGCGCGGGCCCTTCCATCGTGATCGTAGGGACACCGAAAGTCGTGCCGCCATTGTCAAAAGTAAAGTTACACGTACCATAAAACAGACACGGGACACGCAAATTCGTCTTTTAATTTGAATCGACGTCGGCGTGGATATTAACATCGAAGAAGAACTGCTACAATTGATTCCTCGAGCATTGAATTTTTATTTGTGCAAAAGGAAATTCGTCTTTTAAATCAGTGAAATTAAGTTTAGAGATTACTAGTAAGACTGTAGCTACTAAAAGCTCATTAAATAGCTTTGTTTTAATGATTGTGGCAGAAACATTGTCACAGAAGAAATATGAATTCTGTGAATATTATATTAATATATAATATTAATATAATATTATATTAATGAATATTATATTAATGAATATTATATTAATATAATATTAATATAATTGCAACTATAAATAACGATACGCACTGTTGAGCAATTCCTTTAAAAAATCATGAATACTTTGGTCTTTAAAATTTGCCATTGCCATCGAGAAACGCGGTAAAATAAATTCTCCGCTGCGAGTTATAGATTTTTAAAAAGCAACGATTTTATCGAATAACGAACTAACCGTTAGTCCACGTATTACGAGACGTATTGCGGATTTATGTGACGAATACACGAAATGACAGGACCACGTAACCGTGCAATATTATCCGATGTTGGAAAGCGAAGAGACGATCGTTAAGCTCGACGTTTACTGCCAAGAACTCGGCCATTTTCCGTACGAATTAAGATTGAAAGCCTTACCAGCGCTTCCGGAAAAAGTGACCCGCGTGAATGCAATACTTGGGTCCTCTTGCACATTTCCGCTTACGTTGCTGAATGACACCCAGCGCAAAGCCGCATTCACTATCCAAGTACGTCGGACACGAAATTATGTCCCTACCGAGAACGAAGTTTCTTTCATCTTCCACGATTAAACGGCACCCGACTCTGTCGGCTTTACAGATCGACAACGATTGTTTCACCGGTCCAAAACAGATCGAAGTGGCAGAGCTAACCGGCGGGACGATAGAAGTTACCTACGAGCCATGCTGTATCGAAAATGTGTCTGCTACGTTAATCGCTTCGTCTAAAACCGGAGGAGTCTTCGTGTAAGAAAATTAGCTTTCGATTTTGAAGAAGATCGGTTAAAATATTTGTTAATTTATCGCATCTTTGGTCAGGTTCCCTTTGATCGGCACTTCCTCGTTACCAAAACCCACCGGACCTTATATCGTCACCCAAGAGTCGCCGGTTTCAATTCGTTTCAAGAATGTTTTCAAAGAACGGAAAACTTTCAACTTCTTCGTCGACGCACCCGCAAATTTTGCGGTAACAGAAAAATCTGTTACTTTGGACTACAAAGAAGTATGTTTTCCGTTAGGGTTCACCTTGTCTTAGGCACTTGTTCATTAAACAAACGTTCTTTTCAAGTATATCGATGTCACTGTAACACTCCTTGACGAAGAAGAGAACGATGTGGAAGAGAAGTGTATGGTCACAGGGAAACTTTTAATTTATTGCACCGATCAAAATCTTTCTCACATCAATTGGGTGCACTATCTAAGAGGAATTTATTCATAAAACTAGGTTAGGATATTTGTTTGCGTTCATTGAAATGAAACAATTATTACGGATGCCCAAGGCTCCCTTCTTTTTTCTAGACTACATATTTATGTTCATGTTCGAACTTCCTACGTCAGAAATTATTCCATAACAATGAGGCTAAAGGAGATGATAGAAATTATTTCGCTCCGAGTCATACAACTTTCAATATAATAATGTAGAAATGGTATTATTTAGTTTTTACTTTAACAAAATAAAGCATCTGTGTTAAGAAAATTACAAACACGTGTAAAGTTTGCTTCTCTGCTTTTCTTTAAAATTTTAGAAACTGTGGCATAATTTTAATCGCGTGCAGCCCAAGCTCGGAAAGTCTTCGATACGGTACTGACGTATACGCAGCCAATCAGCTGTTTCTATACCGTTTCCTTGAATTATACTATCAAAGTTCTGTCCCCTTTGTGTTGCATTTCGTTTCCGTTTAAGGCTGATATTCTGCTGGATATTTCCACGCAATAACGACAGGTGGAAATCTTGTTTGAGAACAGTGTAGCTAAACGGCCGTTCAGTTTCAATTTTCGGCGACAACACCGTTATGATGGACATCCAACCTCACTTTCTCAGCCGCTGAAGCGAAGGGGAGCAACCATGTAAGCCGTCGAAAGCATTCCAATGTGTCATTCAAACCGAACATTCCTCGCGAACCGTGTATCTATCCACGTTTGGTTCTGCCGAGTATTGGAGCGGCCGCAGTGGTTCATCTCCGACGATTTTCCTTAATGACGTTTCACGCCGTGACCAGTCCGTGCAGGGTAGATTTTTAGTACCGGTCCTCAGGATCGTATCCATCTCAGTCTCAGCCACGCAATGACTGAGAAATCTAGGCAATTATTGACAAGGTTTCATCCCACCCACGGGGAAAACGTAGTACTCACGAATGACAGCACCGTAGCTTATCGTACTACCAGCTTCGCCAATTCCCTGGCTTTCAGTGAAAAACCGCTGCAGCCAGGCGAGATCTTTCTGGTAGAGATCGAAAGGACTCAAAGAGGATGGAGCGGACATATGAGACTAGGACTCACCTTACTCGATCCCGCGACTGTGGACGGTTCCTTACCCAAGTTCGCGCTGCCTAATCTGGTCAAATTAAGCAACACATGGATGTTCGCTATTACCGGACGTAGCTCTATGTGGGATTACTTGGATATCATGAGATACGGTAAGAATTCATTGCACCGAGCCTATTACATCTTTTAAACAGTACATTCTTGAATTCTTAGTATTATAGCTTATTCTAGTCATACTATAAATATTTATACTATATATTATATATATTATACTACGTATTATACTATGCTTGTACCGCATACATCAAATAAACCAGATGATTAACGTATTATCATGTTCTTTAAGGTGAAGGAATACCATCCAGAGAAAAGAAGCTAATAACAGATGGAGTTAATGTTCAAACATCTAGAGGAGTTATACCCATGAATGCCCTTAGACCAAACACGATATCACAAAATATCCTACCCACGGATGCTGGAAGTCGTGTTGGATTGATGTATGTGCCCCAGGCTGGTTCTGACAAGGCAGAAATGCACTTTATAATAAACGGAGAAGACCAAGGAGTATGCATGAAGGATATACCTTACAAAGCAGGGCCCATGCGAGCAGTGGTAGATCTATATGGTACTACCACACAAGTCAGGATAGTTCAGTTGTATGGCGGTAAGTTGATAACACATGTATATCAGTGTCCATTAATTATGGTAACACTTTCATCTTTCTATTTGACAATCTGTTTCAGCAGTATCCACCCTACAGAGTGCCTGTCGCGATGCAATACTACAGTATACCAAGGGAAATGCAGTCGACTCGCTTCCGCTTCCACGGGTTCTGAAAGATTATCTACTATACCAGTCGCAGTGAGAGTCGAGCATCATTCCATCTTGTAACTCGACTTTGATTCTCCATCTTAATTTAGATAACGATTTCAATATTCGACGTTCTTTTGCGATTCAATGCTCCCACCAATGTTGCAATACATTGTATCGCGTAAATCGTACTTTCAATTTCTTTACTTCAAAAGTAAAAAAACAAAGCTTTTTACAGAAAGATTAAATGCCGTTTTAGTTGTTCCAGATAGGCGTTTCTTTGATTTGTATTATTTACTATTATATATCTAATACGCGTTATCAGCTCTCTTCTTTTCTTTTTTATACAATTTTAAGCGATCAATACACGCACCAATGCTAAATTCTGACTTGTACATAATGTAAGAAATCGTTGATTGAGCACCTGTCGATTACGATGGACAAGAGAAAACAACATTCTCTCAGTGCATTAACATTCATCGCTGCCACACGTTCGCAGTTACAATCGTACGAATCCACTAGGCTCACACTATCGTGAGTGTAACATTCTTTTCTACTCTTTACGACCCACTGTATCTCCTACGGATATTGTAGAGTTGAGTTGGGTGCACTGTTAATATTCGCAAATATTGATCTGATCGACATAAACGGTTAAGTTCAACATGTTTTTTCAAAATAAATGTATTTATAAAAAAACTAACACGGGGAAATGTTTATTGAACATAATTTCTCATTAGTTCTCATTTTACTGGTATAATCATTTTTCTGCTAGAGTATCTGGTAAATGTGTAACTTTCTATGTAATTGGTATACTTCATACAACAGGAAACGCGGACGAGTTCGTTGGAAAACGAACGATGAAGAGTATTATATAAACGAGTAAAACAACGATAAATGCGAGCCATCCGAGCACAATGGACATGTATCTCCAAGTCAAATCTACTTTATCGAAGGACACAAGATTAGTACTATCGTCGCTATCCGATACGATTTGAGCGGACAATTTTGGATCGGAAATGTTTACCAGAAATATCTGGCCAACTCTGCTTTTCAAAATGGTCGTGACGCCGGACGACATCCATGTAGGTGCTGTGACGGTGATCTCTTGCATGTGTCGCAGGATCATTGTTAGAACCAGCGAGAACGTGGCCAAGACAAAGGAGTTTTCATACAGAAGAACTGGAAAGGAAGAATATCGTGCCGGTTAATTTTTTCATAATACATATAGTGCAAATGCGTCACCTGGTGACACTAGAACTACCAAGCAGTAACACAATAACTAAATTATAATGTTTTACAAGAAATTGCAAATAAATTCATTCAACATAACTCTCAGCAGATGATTAAGATGAAGAAGCCGAGGTGAAACACTGTTACTCATCTGACAGTAGTAGTGTTAACTGGATGATGCAAGGCCCAATGACCAAGCTAAACGGAAACCAGCCAAACTAAATGACTCACATATTTTCGGATGTCGACCTCCGGTATTGGGCATGGTCCAAGTTATGTCCAACAAGGACAGTAAATGAAAAACGAAATTCATGTTCGCTAGTATCATACGCTCGCTGCATTTCGGCTCCAACCAAAGCACCAACAGCGTCGTCGTCATCATTGCTGCACAGGAAAATTAGCTTGTACAAAGGCGATTCGTATGTTTGTCCAGATTAGAATTACTCTACGAACCTATTATGAAAGTAGAAAGAGTTGCACCATCGACGGTGGCCCGTCTTTTGAGAAGAAAGTTGTACGACAGCAATTTAGTGGTACCATCGAAGCCAAACTTTGTCTCCGAGTCGAAATAGTACTCGGTGATGCCCACAATTTCCCATTCGGAATGATTTGCTGACGACTCGAATGATTCCTAACGAAAATGAACATTCAAAATGAACATTTTTGTTTTCCGTACGAAGGATTGTTAACGATCGTGGCACATACTTCGCCTTTTGCCGAGGTCTCCATATAAATGTCCTCCGAGGAGTGAGCCCAGGAAGAAATCTGTATGCTACAGTTCATTAAATCATACGGCCACCAAGTGACGTCTCTTCCGCAATATATCACGTATGTAATTTGTGGAACGCAAATCACGTCGCCGTTAAACATCACCAAACACTGCGTCTTCGGCATGCTCATGTCGACGCCCTCGGTCGTCCTGCGTTCGAGGTCAATGAAAATCTTAGGAAAACTATTAGATAGCGCGTAGAATATGTTTGGTATTTTTGTTCATAGGATCGACGCTCGGTTAATTAGACTGCGGATTTTTGCATAGAAGAATAATTGTATGCAGGAAACAGGGATCATAGAAATGCGCCAATAAATGATTGACGTTTTAATAGCTATTTATCCGGAATAAAACTTTTCACTTTGTTATCTTTAAGGAAATACCTGATTGGTTTTCTTTGGACGGATCTGGTTTTCTTTTATGTTTGTAATGTAATTACCGTGCGACGCGGTTAAAAGGCTTTGTAAAAAGAGCGACAAAAAGTTCATTTGCAAATGTTAAAGGTTGACATTATACGTCGATTCAAACCGTGAGCAAATTTACGTATTAGATGTACTTATCGTGGCATTATTTCCGAATGGAAAAATAACTGTTTTTACATGTGCAAACATGTTGTACTGCGTGAATTGAGATACCAGAAACTAAAGAATGTATAAATGCAATATTTTTACAGCATCTTATTGGGAAAACTTACGTGTACGGATACGTTATCTATGCATCTTGCGTTTGAAATCATTTCGAGAGGTGTTTTGAAAATGTGACTAGAGGCGGGATAAGGCCAAGAACACCGCATGATTAACGAAGCTACTGAATTAATAAGTGCAGAAGCTAACAGTAAGAGTTATAGACCGTTCTCTGAAACCTACGCGCTTTGCAACGTAATGTCCGGTACCCAAATTTCATCGCTCTTTATGTGAATCCTGCCGATATCTCCGTAATCCTGCGGTTCCCACGTGAGAAAAGTATCGTTCCATATCTTTGGCACACAAAACATAAATTAATTCCCGAATGCGGCATTAATATGTTAATCCGTCGAATCTCATTAATTAGTGTAATTAACTCGAAAGCAGAAATATGGGAAGAGTAAATAGTTAATATTCCTTCACAAATCGAAGATAAACAATCGAAGGGCTTTTAGTAATTTTATTAAGACAGCTTGATTGGGCGGGGGGAACGACAAGTTATCTCGAACTACTATTTAATAGTAAAAATTTAAATAAAAAAGAAAAAGTTGTAATAGTACAAATTTTTATTTTTAACTACTAGTTAAATCTACTAACTGTTCTCGAGATTACTATTAATTATGAGATTATTATTATTACAATGAGATTATTATTTACAATATATTATGCACAATTATTATTAGTTACAATGAAACTGCTAATCTACTTTCGGTTGCAGCAGCTGTTCGGGAACTCTAGTTGTTTACATTTCGAGAATGAAATCGGGCCCCACAATCGGCGCTCGATTCCGCAAAATGATTCGGTTCTCAACTATGCCGCAATTCACAGAAGCTGTTGACATTAAACTAATTTACGTATTTCAGCGGTACTATAAAATACACGAGTACTAGGAAGCCTATTTAATAGACATCCGGTAGCTAAAGGGTCAATGCTCCGTTCGAAGATGCAATCAAGCAAGAAGAGAACGACGGACTAACAGCATAATGATCGTTAGGAATCGGTACTCACCAGTACCATCCAGACGTGAAAATCGACGGAGCTCGTGATCTCGTCCTGTCGAACAGAACAGAAACCCGATAAGAAGAATTTACGCATCGAACATCGTCTACGCGCGCCGCCTTACTTACGACATAGAAATTCTGCAGATGCAACGCAGCGGTGACGAGAGTAGCGTTCCTGTGATTGTTGGTCGGCCTGGTGTCTACATCGTAGTTGCAAAGCAGGTGCCATTTCAGTTGCAAGTAAGGATCGGTGTTCAATTTGCAGTCGGTCGAAGGCACCGCGTACTCCTCGCACGAAACCGCGAGGACCGTCAAGCAGACGTACAGGAAGCTTCTCATTTTTGTTGGTGCATAGGAATCGGAACGGCAGTCACGCGAAGACTGCAGTTCGACTCTGTAGAAGAGAATAGTTGCACGCCCACGTGATATATTAAACCGAGGACACTGTAAAGCCGCCCCCTTTCGAACGTCATCTTATCAGTTTTCGGGTTTTCAATGATACGCAGCTGCTACGTCGACCCGAAAACAGTCCCGTTTCCGTCCTTCGTGACATTCATCGCTTTCCATCGAACGCCGCTTCGGATTTCAATCGATTCTAACATCGAATCCGACGAAATCCGGCTCGGATAGCGAAACAAGCCGTTAAGCAATCGCGATATCGAAAGCGATCATAAAGCGCCAACGGGGAATTGCATCGCGCGTTTATCGCAGAAAAATAAATACGATTGTCAGCGCGCGCGCGCGCGCGTCCATCGGGGAGCGATTTGCGAGGATCGTTTACGGGTCGGATGGAGGCAACAAGACGCACAAGACCAAATTAAAAATGAGAACGCAACATCGTTTATTCGGGAATAACATTTTGCTGGGTGCGGGTCGAGGGGGTGGAGTGCGATACAAAAGTCGAGAGACAGGTGATTTATTATCGAGAATGAGAAAAATCTACGATTTGTCGATTAAATGCAGAACTAGAAGCCGAACGGGTCTCGTTCCCGTTTTTCTTTTTTTTTCAAGCGGATGGCACGAGGCTGATGAGAATGATGGCGTAGATGAAAACCACGACGAAGAAGGAGAGCCACTCGCTGATGGCCGCGAAGTGTCTCCAGGAGGAGTTTTTCGTGGCGTCCTCCGTCTTCGGCGGGTCCCCGTTGTCGTCCTGCTCGTTGTTCAGTATCCTCTTCGAGTCCTCGCCGGTGAGGATCAGAAAACGGCCGGCCCGGTTGTTCAGAATGAACGAGGTCGTCGAGGAGATCCAATACGGCGCCTCGATGTTCATACTTTGGATTTTGCGCAGCACCGCGGTCAAGATCAAGGCGAACACGGCCAACGCCAACGAATCTCGGTAATACAAGACTGCAAGAGAGAGAGAGGAGAGAAATCCAATTGTTCATCCCTCACGTACACGGGCTCGCGCAATTGTTCTCGTTGCACGAGTGCTTACTTATGTTAGGCGTATTTAAGCCATTGTGCGGCAATTGCCAATGCAAGTCGAATATACACAGCATGTGACACACCAGATTAACGCTGCCCACTGCCATCCTCTCGGCGGACCTTGAGTCCAACCAGAGCACCGTCAACGTGAGCAACATCATTGCTGAGGACAGAACACGCACCAGTGAATCGTGGGGGAGAAATAAATTAACCTTTTGAGAACGGATATCAGGGTATTAGCGGCGTCAGGCTCTAATTCGTATATAAGGTTGTCGAATTTCATTTCGTTTCATCTTAATTAAGCCCCGGTTGTTAATCTTATCTAGAACTCAAATCGAGCTATTTACGTTTCTATCGTCGACGTTCGAGCATCGCGCTCCACTGGCGTGTGTTATCAAAGGGCCAAGATTAATCGTTTCGACTATCCCGTAAATCGAACGGTTAAAGGGTTCAATTCTTGTCCGCAAATGCCAGATCAGACCGCCGTATGAATAATAAGTAATACTGTAAATTCTTCCCCAATTCTTGTACACGAAAATTGACAATTTGGGAACAGGAGAACGATGCGTTTATTATAGTCGCTCGTTTTTTATAGTCGCCGATCGTCGACGACTGTAAAAAACCTGGCTGCCCTTTCCGAAATCGTCCATTTTGCGCGTCCAATCCGAGCGCCGACTGCCGTAAACGTCGTTCGCTATATTCGTTGGGTGGCTGAAAACTAAAATTCCGCGCAACAATTGTTCTCGTACCAATTGCGGGAGTGACGTAAGTGGTTTGCAAGATCCCGTGGTGCCGTGTGATAGAGAATTCGTAGACGATCATGGGGTAGTTGTCGTTCGGGCAACATTTGTACTTCTTCAGCACCTTGTACGCGTTGATCACTTTGAAATCCCACACGCTGTTGTTGGTGTACCCCGACATCTGGAACTGCGGGCCGGTTCGAAAATTTAACGAACGACGCAAAAATCGTCGGAGCTGCAAAAATCGTCGACCGCCGTGCGCGATATTACCCCCTTCTGGTCCAGATGGAAGTCGACCTCCTCGCCGGAGTGCGCCCAGGAACCGAAATTGATGCGGCACACGTGAGTGTCGTAGGGCCACTTCGAGAAATCCGTGGCGCATTTGGCGACGTGCTTCAACGACGGCACGCAGCTGACCGATCCCGAGCTGAACACCAGACAGGTCGTCAGAGGAATGCTGTTTTGATCAGCCGCCATGTCGCCTCTGTTTTTCGTTACCGGGAAAGAAAACCGATCGGTGAACGAACGATTTTTAACCGTCGCGCGCGATGATCTTTCTTTTCGATAATTTTCTTGCTTACGAGTTATAAACGGAAAAATCGGGCATCCATATCAGGTCGCTTTTCACGTGTATGTAACTGATGCCGTCGTAATCGCCGGGCTTCCAGGTGAGAAGAGAGTCCGTCCAAAGCTGCGGAGAATAATAATAACGACGTTCGACCCCCGTTCAAGTTCGGATTTAATAATTAAATTTAATAATAAAGAAAGTAAGAGAGCGAGAGAGGTGTTACTTACGAGCGTCATCCAGCTGTGCAAAACCATCTTGCTATTCATCTCGTCCTGCAGAAGAATCGCGGCATTGTAGATGAAATCACGATTTCACGGGGCTAATTGAAAGACTTACGAATTCGAGTATCTTCGGTATCAGTTTGATGGTCACGTTGTTCACTTCTTTGTGGGATAGAACAGGCCGAACAGTGCGATCGTAGCCGCAGAAAAGATGATTCTTCAGCGTCATCAACGGCGGCGGGTTCGTCATGCTTTTGCATACCGAGCGATCGATGTCCGTGGACGTGTCTGCGGAGAAAGAAAGGTGAATTTTAATTAAGGATGCGATTCGGTGTTTTTCGGGAAACGTCGTTCAACGGAATAGCCGCGCGAGCGGAATTTCGCGAACGAATCATGGAGTCCGGACTCCATGGTTTCCCGGGGGGGCCAGCGAACCCCTCGGATCGATGGGAATTGGTGCTGGTCGCGTGGAATAGACGATCACATGGACACTAGCCGACACTTTACCCGAACGACACGCTCGGAGGACAGTGAGGAACCAGAGCACTGTTAGTATTCTCATATCGATGGTGGAAATGAACGTACAGCCGCCAGTCGACTGAACGATTCCTCGGTTCGCGGCGAAACGATTATCAGACGCCCCATGAAATCTGAAGCCGCAGATACGCGAGACGCCCCCAGGGTGGTTCAACAGTTTTTTAAGTATTTTCAGATAGAAATAATAACAACGTGCCGCGCGGCCGGCTATGTATAAATAGCTCTGGAATAGACGATAGTTGTCCGTGTTTTTACGAGGCGCCGGCTATCGCTTGTACCGGAATGTCCGTCGATTCGACGACAGATCGGAGATCGGGAAAATCGACGGCACGGAATGAAAGATCAACGTCGAAGCTATCGTGAGAGGTGTCACCGATTTTCATATCTTTCCTTTTTTTATGGTGTCAGATTTTCTGTTATCGCAGCACAAATTCGAACTATGCCGTTTTGTAATTTTCGCGTGAGCAGCGTGCCACCCTTTTTCTTTTCGGACGATGAAGCGATTTGTAAATCAAATTTGTAAAGTAAATACTGCGCGATATAAGAAAGGCCTTGGAAATAGAATCTTAAGCGACCGTCGCGAAAAAGTATGTTCGCCTCTTTTTCTGGGATCAAAAATCAATCCATAGACTTGCAAACGAATATTACCAGGATGCGTGGATTGTGGGAACATTCGAAATCGAACACCGCTATAATATTCATTCGGCGAATACGCAAAGCTGGCGTAATATAGGCACGAGTTTATGTAACGCTTAAGTCACTTATGTCCAAATCCAAATATTTAAACGCGTTATTCTGTAAACAGTGCGATCGATATCGATACCAGAAATAACTCGAAGACTTTCATCCTTCGTGCATATGAACGGAGAAACGATTTGAAATTTTGATCATTGTTTGGCTTTGTAATTCGCACACTTTTTCATTCAAACTTTACGACCGATCTTTACGAAAGATCCTCTTGTAACGCAAGTTCTTTGTTTATCGATGAAACATAATTTCAACCGCGCAAAATATCTGTTAAATTCGTACGAATATTTAAGATCTGCCATATGCAACTTTAAATCGTTGTTTGCGAAAGCAGAACAATTACAATAGCACAGCTCGCGTGATACTGGACTGAAAAATAAATATTATAAATACTAGTTTCGATCCGCGCGGGTCGTCGTAATGGATAAACATTAATTTATGAAATAAAGCATTATTTTATATTCCACAGTAGATTAATTCCTGGAGCAAAATTTCTCAATGCTTCTCAAACATTTTTATTTTCTAGCATTTTCGAGCAAAGTTCACCTTCGATTATAGTAATCATGTAAAATTATGTAAAAAGTATCAGTATCATGTAAAAACATGTTAGGAAGAAATTGAATAGATTATTTTTGTACACGCAGTTCTCAGGAAATTCTAACAATTCAAATATAATATGATATTTTAATTAATAATATATAATATATTATAAGTATATTAATATGTAATACATAATTATAATATATCATAATTAAATTAATAAACAATTATATTAATATATAATATATAATTATAATATATTATAATTAAATTAATATATAATTATAATATATCATAATTAAATTAATATACAATTATATTAATATATAATTATAATATATCATAATTATATTAATATAAAATATATCATATTATATTATATGTATATCAATTCATCGATAATCCGAAATTTCGGATATTCTTTTGGAGTCACAAATTGCCTCGTCAAAATGAATCGAAAATCCCGATCTGAAACGTGGCCGAGCGGCTTTGAATGCCGGGAACATCGGTACGTCCGGATCTTACGTATACGTAATTGCGATAAACCGGCTTGTAGAGCATGCGTGGTACCATCACGTGCTGCTACGTACCGGGTGTAAGCAGTCCGCGATAAGTAGCTGCTAGTAGTCCGCCGCGCGTTTCCGTGCGACACGTCGAACGTTGTTTCGTGGAACGAATCGCCACGCGAATTTGCGAAGCGTATTCTGATTCTGGTATCGCCGCAACCCGCCGGAAAATCCGTCGACCCCCCGGGCGTTCGAATGAGCCGAAGGATTTTATCGTCCGACGACTATGAGATACATCGGAGCACTAGACGTCGGCACCACCACGGTGCGGTTCCACATTCTCGACGAGCATGCATCCACCGTCGCCTGTTCTACCGAAAAGGTGTGCGATCTAAAGGGATCTATCGATGATCCGCGATTCTAAAAGCGCGCGAACTCTTGCGGTGCGATAAGAACCGTCGGTTCCATCGGTAAATAATAGATTAAGATTCTTTTTCCGTTCGATTTTCTTATCTGTTTGTTGCTCGAAATTGTTCGTACTTACGCGGAGAAATGCCATCGACGTGTTCGATTTAACGCGGCTCGAAGAAATACGGTAATTTCATACTAATTCGCGCTCAGATTGTACACAAAAATGGACAATT